GCATCGAATCCACAGGATACATCGACCAATGAAACACCAAGAAAAAAACAAACAAAAAAAACAACTTTTCATTGTGGTCAGGTGACTGTGCCTTGGTTGACTCAAACTCAAACCTGTCTTTTAAAAAAACAAACAAAAAAAAAAACCACCCTAAAAAAGAGAGGAAGCAGTGAAAAAAATAACCACTCCGCAAACTGAGCTAACGCTAACGCTGGTTTCACACCACAGAAAAACATGTATTACCGATACTGTCCATTACTAATACAGTTTTTCAACACCAAAAATTGGCAATAACACTCGATTTTATTTTCAGGGCTAACTTTCGCGTTGCTTTTGCTAATCGCTTTTAGCCTAGCCTTTAGCGATGTCCATTTTTTTTATAACTATAATTTTGCATTATGTTTACAAATCTTTCACACTTTTTGCAACTCGAGGACACTTTCTGGAATGAATTTTTCTTTTCTATTTTTTGAACAAAATTTACCCCTTTACTCAACCATTTAGATCCGTTAACTGTCGAAAACATGAACTCGTTTGACTAGAAAAAATGTGAAACGTTTGACAGAACCTGCCGTAAAGTGTGAGGATTTCAGGGACAACTTTAAATATTTAGTCCGACGAGCTCCAACCGTCTGTGTCGACGCCACGTCAGTCCCTCCGACTTCAACACTTTTTTTTTTACCAGAGAAATATTAAAAATAAAATAACAAATCTTAAAAACGAAACCCTAGACTACGACTTCACCCTAACCCCTATCTCCAGTGTGGGTAAATATATATGCACATGAATATTTAAGACACAGACACAGTGCTTTACAATAATAAAAATATTAATATTAATAATAATAATAATAATAATAAAAACAAAGGCACAGGAAACACCACGTGGACTGAAGGGTCCCTCCAAAGAGAGAGGAAATGAAAGCGGAGAAGAAAAAAAACTTCAAGAGTCAGAAAGTCGGAGAAACTCATTTGAAGGTGGATGAAATTATTAAATTGGCATTAAAGACAAAAAAAAAAAATCTCAGTTGCTGGAGATGAACTCCCGAAACGTTCTTTCTGGGAACATCAGTCACTTTCTCTTTGGTTCTCACGGTCCCCTACTGTCAGGCTGCAGTTCATCAGTTCTGCCTGACGGTGGCAGCACTCATGTCTCGAACGTCCAGTCGCGGACTCCAAAGGCACGATCCCGACGCTCACTGCCTGACGTGTGGCCTCAGGGCTTGATGAAGTCCCTCGAAGGACGGTCGGTTGGGAATATCACGAATCCAGCAACGCATCATCAGCTCGAACAGAGAGGGGGGGCAAAGGGGCGGAGCATACAGGAAGATCTACGGAGAAACAACAACACATCACTGAAGTCAATGGATTTGGTCACTGTAACAATTTGTATTTCGTGGACCACTTTTGGACTGTGGGCCAGGTGTTTGAGATCCCATAAAGGAACTAGTGAATTACTTTCCTTTTTTTTTTCAGAGTAACTGAATATTTGTGGCAAAAGTACATTCATGCTGTAGCACATTGTTTCCCAAAGACTGGGGCGCGACCCTCATGTTCCCAGGAGTTTACGAATAAAGTCTATTGACTTGGGTCGCGAAGGTTTGTGACTTTTAAAATATGGGTCTCCAGGAAAAAAAAAAAATTTAACAACCTAAGATCGCAGAAAAGAAGGTATGGATATGTTATGGTATTGGCAAATACTCCGAGTTGCAGTATCAGTATCTGCATCTGTAAGAAGTGGTAGCGAGATATCGAGATCTTTGAGAACCGAGTGTCGTTTCTGAGGGTGCGTTCGATTCACGTCACCTGTCTGCCCTGGTTCCTGAAGAACTCTCCGGAGTTTTCTATGACCTGTTCGTCCGACAGCAGGCTGTAGGGCTGCTCCTTACACAGAGTGAAGATCTCCCACAGGGTCACGCCAAACGCCCACACGTCGCTGGCCGTGGTGAACTTTCCCTGAGGACCGACATGGACAAGGAGGTCAAAGGTCAAACGCAGCGGGTACTGAGCGACCACCACAGAACAGGAAACCGGCTAGCGTCATTTTTGTAAATTAGAATAATCACAGTGTAGCTCTCAATTAATCATGATTAATCGTTATTGATTATCAATTAATCACGATTAATCGTTATTGAGTATCAATTAATCACGATGAATCGTTATTGATTAGCAATAATCACGATTGATAGTTATTGAGTAACAATTAATCACGATTAATCGTTATTGATTTTTCAATTAATCACGATTAATCGTTATTGATTATCAGTAATCACGATTGATCGTTATTGAGTATCAATTAATCACAATTAATCGTTATTGATGATCAATTAATCACGATTAATCGTGATTATGAAATGAATCATGATAAATTATGAAATTAATGGTGATTAAATATGAAACGAATCGTGATGAATTATGAAATCAATTGTAATTAATCACGATTAATTGTGATTAATTGAGATAAATCCTCATTAAGTTTTTTTTTTTAAATAATTCACAGATCTATCAATACCTGGATTGACCAGCAGGCCTTCACAGGTATTGATATTGCTAAGTCTGTGCGAATTTTCAAAATAAAACACTTAATTTTTATCCTGTTTGTATTGGCGTCTGAAAGACATAATATACTATAAATATAAAACCACGGTGTATGACAGTCAACTCGTGACCCGCTGCCACGGCTCTGTACCAGCAGGATGCTCTCCCAGGCCATCCATCGTATGGGCAACACCGCCCGGCCCTGGATGCGATAGTAGTCGCTACTGTAAAGGTTCCGACTCATGCCGAAGTCAGCGATCTTGATGGTCAGCCGGCGGTCCAGCAGGCAGTTCCGGGTGGCCAGATCGCGGTGCACGAAGTTCAGAGACGCCAGGTATTTCATTCCGGACGCAATCTGCACCGACATGTGGAGGAGATCGGAGAGACTGGAGGACAAAGAAGATGTTAAAAAAAACAGTTTTCAAACCTCGAACAGTAAAATGAACGAATCGTGAACGAATCATTTCATTTATTTTACAGCAGGTGGCTGTGAGTGAGTGATTCATTCTCAGAGAGTGATTCGTTCGCGATTCATAAGTGATTCATTCAATATGAACCTTCATATAACTCGTGACTCCCGAGTCGGAGAACATGCGTGCACGCTAACCTGACTGACGGGATGTTGTTGGCCTGCGTCAGCGTGCTCTCGATCTCCCGCTGGGACAGGAACATGTTCAGGTCTCCGTTCTCCATGTACTCCGTCACCATGCACAGCGGGTCGGACGACACGCACACGCACAGCAGTCGGATGATGTTGGGGTCGTTCAGGCGGGACATGATCTTGATCTCCTTCAGGAAGTCGTTCCTGACGGACACGGAGCAGACAGGTTAGGGTTCGGTCCGATATCCAGACGCGAAACTTTGACTTTAAAGTAGGAGTCGACGTCTTCCTCTGAGCGAATTACACCGAGAAATGTTTTCTGTATCGACTCCAGAATCGGAAGAAAATAATCAAAAGTTCGGGCTTGGATCTTCAATTGACGACAAAGGTTTGTTATCGGTAAGGAAACTACCTGGCCTGGCTGGTGGCGTCGGCTCTCAACTGTTTCACGGCCACGAGCACGGAGTGACCGTCTCTCTCGGGGAGCGGCGACCCTTCCCCAAGGAATTCCGGAAGACCCTCAGCCTCGCACAGATGGACCTGAAACAGAAAAAAAATGGAACAAATCCACACGTTAACCTGGAACTTTTACCATTTACCTACAACCTTACCCCCGCCCTCACCCCGACTCACCTCCCCGAACTGTCCCTCCCCCAGCTTCTCCCTGAAGATCAGCCGTTGCCGTGGGAACTCGGCGGCAGAAATGTCCTTCCTGGTCAGAGAGTCCACGGTGAGGGCAGGCACGGCGTACATGTTGCTGCCGGTGACGCCCTGCAGGTGCACGATGTCGGTCTCCGCGTAGTGCGGCGCGCTGTTGTGGAAACACTGGTGCGGTGTGCACTGGGTGACGTCGGGCTCGGCGTAGCCCCCTCCGCAGGCTGATGGTGGAAAGACAGGCGCGACTTTAGTTTTCAGTACCGGATGTCCGATATTAACTTTTGACGATATTTACCGAAACTGAAAATTCCGACTTTCAAAAAATACAACAGTGTTTACAACGAGAGTTCAAACGTCTGATGTCACACCTTTCTGCCCTTACCACGCAGCCAGCCTGACGCCATGTGACAGGAAGTCAGCAGGAGGAGGTCATAGAGAGGGTTACTGAGGAGGAGAGCTGCAGACGGAGCGAGGGAGGAACAAACAGAGCGGGGAGAAAGAGGGGGAGAAAATGGGGGAGAACTGCAGGTGAGAAAAAGAAAAAGTGAAGGAAACAGAGTGAAGCCGAGTGTTTACGAGCGACGAGGAACTGGAGAACCGATGGCGGTACAACATGCTGACCACCAGGTGGGGTAGTCATTCAAACATGTTGGGAAACAGTCTGGTAGTGTGAACAGAGAACTGAGCCAACAGCATCACCTGCTGGACGAAAATGTAATCATTCCTTTTTCAATATCTTCTTAATTTCTTGTGAATTTTCCCATGATCCTCGTGGAGGGAATAAAATGGAACACAAATAGATAACAATTTTTTTTATGACTTTTACTAAATTATTATTCGTTTTTAATATTTTTATTTAATTTATAAAATTATTATTATTATTATTATTTTTTGATGACTTCAATGTTACCTTGAAGTTTTGGGGACCATATCTCCTAGTGTCGGCACCGACCTCCCCCTCCCCCACTCCCTCTCTACTACGCAGTATATAAAAGAAGCACATATTATTGTTAGCGGATTGTTAGCAGGTGGCGCTGCTAACTGTCGGAGTTTCCCTGTTGTCAACGATCTGAACGTTACGGCTGTGTGTGTGTCATGACATCATCAGACAGTAACATCTGTGAGTCGAGAGTTGGAAGTAGAATCGCAAAGTCCAAGAACGCTGACCAATAGGATGCGACTGTCCAGAAAAGCCAACGACAAAGAGAAGGTAGGAAACAGGAAGTGGTGTTAGAAGATCGTCTGAAGTGGTGAAATGTGGAGTTGTGAACCGCAGGAGTCGTCTGTAGTTGGTCTGGTTCACCATGTGGTCTGTGGTCCACATGGTGGACAAGCACATCTGGGCTCCAGCAACCCCCCCCGCCTCCCCGACCCCTCCCCACCCACCCCTCACCTGAGGCCTCGGCGCTCTGGGACAACTCTGGAAGTTTGCTCCTCAGCACCACTGGGTTCTGGTACTGTGGGTCCAGCAGGAAAACCCTCTCGTAGTGGGGGTCAGCGTGGACGGGGCCTGCAGGAGACAAACGGGTGTTTCAGGACTCGATATCAATGACTCCATATATATATACATATACACCTATATATATACACATATACCTATATATATACATATACACCTATATATATACACATATATACATACACATACATATACGTACGTTTGTGTATATGTATGTTTACATATATACGTATATATATATATATTGTTTACATATATATTTATATATATGCGTATAAATATTAACATTAACATTTGTGCCAAATATGTATATATGTATGTATATATATGCATATATATACATACATATATGTATATATATATACATACATACCTATATATATATACACATATACGCCTATATATATATACATACCTATATATATATACACATATACCTATATATATATACATACCTATATATATATATATACGTATATATATATATATTGTTTACATATATATTTATATATATACATATACACCTATATATATACATATATACACATATATACATACACATACATATACGTACGTTTGTGTATATGTATGTTTACATATATACGTATATATTTATATATATATGCGTATAAATATTAACATTAACATTTGTGCCAAATATGTATATATGTATGTATATATGCATATATACATACATACCTATATATATATACACATATATACATACACATACATATACGTACGTTTGTGTATATGTATGTTTACATATATACGTATATATTTATATATATGCGTATAAATATTAACATTAACATTTGTGCCAAATATGTATATATGTATGTATATATGCATATATACATACATACCTATATATATACACATATACCTATATATATATATATAGGTATGTATATATATATACATAAACATACATATATATTATATAGATATATTTATATATATGCGTATAAATATTAACATTAACATTTGTGCCAAATATGTATATATGTATGTATATATGCATATATATACATACATATATGTATATATATAGGTGTATATGTATATATATAAATATATATATATATACTGTATATAGCTAAGGCCGGAATCAAACCCACAACCTTCTGGTGTAAGACAACACTGAGTCACCATGACCCTGTGTAGAACATTTAATGATAATAAACAGATTATTGGCAGACGAGAGTCAGCACGGACAGTCTGTCTGTTACTCAACGCTTCGGAACCTCGACTAGTTGAGCAGTTAGTTAAGTGGTTAGTTAAGTGGTTAGTTAAGTGGTTAGTTAAGTGGTTAGTTAAGTGGTTAGTTTCTGAACAGAACTTACAAAAGTCTCCAGCTGTTTCCACTGTAGTCTTTGTTTAAAGATATTGCGTAATAATAATAATAATAATAATAATAATAAAACTCTGTACTGACTCTGTGTTAACAACCCAACCTGAGGAGTCGTGGTCTACACCCCCCGATCCCCCTCGACCCCCCGACAACCGACCAGAACTACTTCTGTCTGTTACTGGTTCCGAGGCCCCAAAAAACCAGGGTGATGCACAACAGCTGTTTTCATCTGTTGCTACAAGTTCAACATGTGGTTCAAGGACCCACACGGTGAGAACAATGGGAGACTTTGAGGACTTTGAGCTCCTCCTCCTCCTCCTCTTCATCCTCCTCCTCTTTCTCCTCCTTCTCTTCCTCCTACTCCTCCCCCTCCTCTTCCTCCTCCTCATGACCTGAGGTGATTCCTCGGTGAAAAACATCTCATGACAGCAGAACAATTTTGTCTGTCAGCGGCACAGCAATAAACATCGGACGATCGGATTATCTGTTCTGTTCTGTTCTGTTTAGGTCCGCCTCCTCTGGCTGTCAGCCAATCAGGTTAGAGTCTAAGGTTAGAGATGATCCTGAGTTCATTTCATTGCTCCTGTGAATTTAGTTCATCATAGAATTCCTTTTTTGGAAAAAAAATTTGAAGACGTTACAGGTACCAAATGTACCGCCTAAGTGGGTCGCACCTCATTTTGAGAACCACGGAATTTTATTTTTTGTGAAAATTGCAACCATAAATGTAGAGTAATGTTAGAACAGGTGTGAATGTGAGTGTGAACGGTACCGCCCTGGGAGTGTGACCCCACCCTCCCCCCAGGCTGACGGGTAAATTCCCACACCCCGACACTCACCTTCTCCAGCACCTTACAGACGTACTGGCACAGCAGGATGAGGAAGATGATGACGACCAACAGCAGGATGATGGTCACCAGGCAGCCAATCAGAATGGGCGTGTTTCCGTCATCGGGTGTGACGCTGGTGGACGGAACTGCTGCAAATAAAAAAAAAAAGACACGACGTCAACACTGGAGGTCAAGAGTTCAAAAGACCCTGTGACCTGTGACCTCAAAGTCGTACTGGTCTTTGACAACGACGTGGCGGTGCTCAGCTCACTGGGTGGCGGCAAGGTCGCCGCGAGGGTCATCTGGCTCGGAAGGATGGCGTTCTCTGACTGAAAGGAAACCTCGCTGAACATCATCCACGCGTCGGCAAATTGAAAGCGACAGCGCAGAGACTTGGCCGTGCGGCCGTTCAGCGGCACGGTGACGTAGCGGGCGCTGGGGTTCCTGTCGTCCAGCACCGTCTTAAACTCCACCGTCTCTGCCTCCCAGCCGGCGAAGAGGCGGGGCTTGAACCAACAGGTGACGGAGGAGAAGATCTTGACACCGCGGGAGAACATGTTATTGCTGTGGACCTTCATGGACGTGAAGTTCCGCTGACGGTCGAACTCGAACTCCAACTCGACGGATCCCCGAGTTCCCAGTGAGTCGTTCCTCCAGCCCAGGTAGTCGTAGCCCGGCCACATGTTGTACTGTCGCGGCAGCAGGGAGGCGGCCCGTCTGTCAGCTGACCCAGGCCACCAAACAGCCTCCTGTCGGAGGACAAGGCCGTTAACGGGAAACATATATTTTATTGCAATTAAGGTATTTTCTGGAGTATAAGTCGCACCAAGCAAAAAATGCACAATAAAGAAGAAAAACAAAACAAAACATATATAGGTCGCACCAGCCAAAGTATGAAAACTTACAGCCGCTAGAGTGCCCCCTAGTGGCTGTCAGAGTAAAAATAACAATCATGTGAAATTATATATTTTAAGATATAAGTTGCACCTGAGTATATGTCGCAAAACAAGCCAAAGGATGACAAGCCGCTAGAGTGCCCCCTAGTGGCTGTCAGTGTGAAAATAACAATCATGTGAAATTATATATTTTAACATATAAGTTGCACCTGAGTATATGTCGTGAACCCAGCCAAGGGATGACAACCCGCTAGAATGCCCTCTAGTGGCTGCCAGGGTGAAAATAACAATCATGTGAAATTATATATTTTAATATATAAGTTGCACCTGAGTATATGTCGCAAAACAAGCCAAAGGATGACAAGCCGCTAGAGTGCCCCCTAGTGGCTGTCAGTGTGAAAATAACAATCATGTGAAATTATATATTTTATTATATAAGTCGCACCTGAGTATATGTGTTAAACCCACCCAAAGGATGACAAGCCGCTAGAGTGCCCCCTAGTGGCTGTCAGTGTGAAAATAACAATCATGTGAAATTATATATTTTAACATATAAGTCGCACCTGAGTATATGTTGCAAACCCAGCCAAAGGATGACAAGCCGTTAGAGTGCCCACTAGTGGCTGTCAGTGTGAAAATAACAATCATGTGAAATTATATATTTTAACATATAAGTCGCACCTGAGTATATGTCGCGAACCCAGCCAAAGGTTGAAAAAACAAAGTGCGACTTATAGTCCGGAAAATACTCATTTTAAGATCTCAGCAATTCGTTGCATTTTACACAAAAAGTACTGCTCCGATGTGTGGACAAAACGCTTTTTTTGTTATAATAAATAAACACTTTACTGGCATCCATGTTGTGTACTGCATTTAAATCATACTTCAAACACATAGTGTTCCAGTGACAAGAACTTGGCGGAGTTTGAAAACATCTTCAAATTCATTTATTCTGCCTTCGGGAGAGCATTCAAAATGAAAAACGTTGAGTAACTTTTTCCTTTTTTTTTTCCTCCCGGCATCAGTTTTTTTTTCTGCTCTGGTTCATGTCAGAGCTGCAGCAGTCTAAGGCCGGCCCCAAATGCACCGCACCCCCCACCCCTCCTGTGACCCAGTAATCAGACCCTTTTAAAATCCCTGCCCGGCTCTCTACATCTTGAACTCGAATCCGCGTTTGTAACTCACCTTCGCTCTTGCACTCCGTCGTACGTGGAGTCGTTGAGGCTGACAACGGGGAAGCCGGGGAGCTTCATGAGCTGACCCTCCGGAGTGCTGTAGGAGATCAGACCATCTGCGAGAGAGAGGTTTGGAGCAGCAAGTAAACGTGAAGTAAACGTTCCGTACAGAGTACACATGTTTTTTATTTTTTTTACCATCCCAGGGACAGCCGTACAGCTCCACCCGCATGCACACGGTGGTGGACACCTCGGTGGAGGGGATCAGGCGGATGTGGCGGGTGATGATCGGAGGGTGAAGGTCTTTAAAGACGTGGTTGTAGGCGTCACTGTTGGCGTCCACCGACTGGAGAATGAAAGTCGGACAGGTGGGTATATATTTATATATATTTATACATGTATATATACATTAAAATGCTCTCAGTATATACATATATATAATCTCTCTATATAAAAATATATCTATATACATACATGTGTGAAGAATATATATATACATATATATACATATATACACATATATACACACATATACACACACACATATACTGTATATACCGATCTGCCGGTATCAGTCAATACTGCAAATCGGTAATACCGCGCCATCGTTGAAGGATATGTATATAGTATGTATATATATTCATATATATTTATACATAGATATTTAGATTTAAATGCTGTCCATATACACATATATACATTTATACTCATATATATATACAATCTCTCTCTATATAGAGATAGTATATATATGTATATATATACATATAGATATATGTATGTATATATATAGATATATATACCAATCTGCAGGTATTAGTCAATACTGCGAATCGGTAATACCGTGCCATCGTTAAAGGATCATTCAATTTTCAAAATAAAACATCTGTTAGCCTTTCTACTGTTAGTACCAGAGTCCGAATGACCTTTGACCTGTTGTTGTGAAACACTGACAGACGATCTTTGGATTCGGGATTCTTTTTGAATGAAGTACATTAGTAAAACTGAAGTACTTTGTGCTAATGTGCTAATTTTATTAACTTTAGTACTAAGTTAGTACTAATTTCTTCACTGTGTCCCGTTGTGATACCAAAATGACCTACGGACCAAGGCCCCGACCGAGGCTTGGAGACCCCCTGATCTATAGGATTTCCTGTTTTTTTTGTTTTTTTTTTAAGCAACGTTTAAATTGTGAAACTTTTCTCGCAGCAGCCAGCGACCTCGAAGTATGACAGGAAGTCAGGATGTGAGCGTGTCACTTCCTCTAACGTCGATTTCAAACAATCAGCCTGGTATTATTTCTGCCGTCTGCTGCGCTCTTTTAGCGTCTATCGCTCCTTCGCACATTTCCTCTCCTCGCCATCTTCCATTCTTACCAGTTTCCT